GGCAGTGAGCGGGACTATAGAGACGGGGGCTCTGTGGCCAGGTGAGCTGGAGGACCCTGTGGACGGCAGTGAGTGGGCAGGGCTATAGGGATGGGGACTCTGTGGCCAGTGAGCTGGGGGACCTTGTGGACGGCAGTGAGCGGGGCTGTAGGGACGGGGGCCCTGTGGCCAGTGAGCTGGTTGCTTGATGCAGAACTTCTTGGACTGGGTCCAGTTAGAACTACTCACGCCTGTCGGGGCTCCCTGCATGCTGGCCTCATGTCCCCTTGTCTGAACCTCGTCACACCCTGGGAGAGGCCATCTGTGGTCCTTATGTCACAGGTGAAGGTGAGGCTCAGACAGGGAGGAGCTCTGGGAGTCACATGCGGCACATGGCAGCGCCAGGCAGGACCCTCCAGGGAGGCGCCCCCGCCTCATAGCTTGAACCCTTGTGCTCTCCCTTGCGCTGGTGTTTTCCTGATGAGGAGACTGTCTCATGGAGAGGATGGGCTGGGTGGCGGAGTAGACCCCACTGTCCTGGCAGGGTAGCAAGTGCATAGCCCCTGCAGGGATGCTGGGCACTGTAGCTTCGGAGCCCGCCTCACTGCCTCTTTTGCTTTGCTGCCCAGGCCACCTCGCCCACGATGAAAGGCTCCCAGGCCACCAGCGGTCCCCCCCAGGGCAACCCCAACAGCATGGACCTGAGCCTGACCGGCCTGCCCCCACCCATGTCCCGGCGCCCCAACAGCGCCTCTGCCACCAAGCCCATTGCCCGCTCCATCTCCGTGACCACAGGCAGCGAGCCCAGGAGGAGAGCACTGGTGAGTGTTTCAGCCCAGGGGGCGTGTGACCCTCCCTCTGGGGTCACCATCACGGTGGCATCTGACTCTGGTACAGTTCCACACTATCCCTGCAGCCGGCCGAGGGGCAGGGATGACGCCGGCCTTACAGGTCAGGGAGACTGAGGGATGGCCTAGATTCTTCCAGCACAAGCCCGTCCCTCCTACTCCTCCACTGAATGGACACGGGGGTTGACCTGTGGGGGAGGCGATGAGCTCTTGGTGGCCTTGGAGGAACCTGGGTGGGTGGGCGGCAGTGTGGCCATGATCTGGGAGCAGAGCTGCCTGCCTAGCCCACCTCTGCGAGGGATGGGTGGGATGGAAGCCCCAGGTCACTGCCCCAGGCCAGCTGGGACAGACAGGCAGGCCGCTGCACTTCCCTGAGTTGCTGTTGCCAGGGGCCAGTCTGGGTGAGAGGGTACGTTCATGGAACAATGTGATAGACATTGCCATAGAGACTGTCCCAGTTGACACTCAGGCCCAGTGTATGACAGCCTGTGTCCTCGTACCCTAGCCAGATGTTAGCAAACACATATCTATAAACATTTCTGTATTCTTGTTGGTCTTTACTAATTGGACAAGTTAAAATAGATACCTGGTTTTACTGTTTTTGAAATGAACTTTATTTCAGAACAGTTTTAGATTTACATAATTATCGCAGAGCCAGCCCAGAGTGCCCACGCGCCCCACACCCAGTCTCCCCTATTAGCGACATCTTATGTTAGTGCGGTGCTTTGTCACAATTGGGGAGCCGATGTGGCTGCATCATTAACTAAAGGCCACACTGTATTCGGGTTTCCTCAGTTCTCCCCTCGCGTCCTCTGTCTGTCCCAGGACCCCCTTACACTTAGAGGTCACGTCTCCTCAGGCTCGTCTGGGCTGGGACGTTTCTCAGACGCTCCTTGGTTTTGATGACCGTGACGGTTTTGAGGACTCTTCAGGTGTCGTGTGGACTGTCTCTCAATTGGGATCTTACATTTTCCTCGTGGTAGACGGGGTGACGGGTCTGTGGGCGGAAGACCACAGAGGTGACACGCCTTCTCGCAGCATTACATCAAGGGTACATGACTCTCCATGTTGGTGCTGGCCTTGAGCACAGGCTGGGGCCATGTGCGCCCTGTTTCTCCACCATGACCTTGCTCCTGGGGAGGAAGGCCCCGTGCACACCCCCACTCATGCTGGGGGGTTGGGCTTCACCTTGGTGAAGGCACCTCGTTTGGAATTCTGCTGGAAGATTTTTTTTTTTTATCTATTCTCCTCGTTTATTTATTTAATCATTTATTTCTATCAGTATTGAGTCTTGGGTATTTATTTTTATTTTATGCTTTGGATTATAATCCAATGCTATGTGATTTTATTGCTCGGATTGCTCCAGCTTCAGTCACTGGGAGCCCCCATCAATGTGTGTGTGTGTTTAAAGCACTTCCTTGCTTTCTGCCACTACATGATGCTCCAGGCTCACTTTGTGGGCCCTACAATCATCCATTTCTCCAGGGATCCCTGGTTCTTTTTGGTCAGAATGATGTTTAGACACCATGATCTGGGCACTAGATGTGCTCATTGCTACTGGGGTGTCATTGCTTCTAGGCCTTCTCAGCTGACAGAACAAGAACTTACATGTGTGTATAGTAACTCGTCTGTCTGTGTATCTACAAATATTTCTATACATCACCATGTATCTACATTATGCTGAATGTGAATTCATCCTGACGTCCCCAGCTCTAATCCATGATTACATGGATCATTCTAGTTTCCCCCTCTTGCTTATCTGTAAACTCTCTCTCCAGTGAGAAACCTGGCTCCCACCATCCACCATCCAGTTACTTAATAATTTAGTTCCAGTAAATGGATGCAGTAGTATCAGAAAAGTTAACCTAGGCCCCCTTGGGAAACAGCTCTTATCAACTAGGGGACAGTGCTTATGTGCAGCTCCTTTTGCCCCAGTGGCATCGCAATCCCTCCCCCTCTGCCCCTGCTCAGATCCGCCAGCCCACTGGGCCTGCTGACCGCTGCCCTTGCCCTTCCCTCCTCCTTCCCTGCCCGTGCATTCCTCAGTCCCTCATTCACCCGACTTTGCTCTTTTTTTCTAGCACTTACACCGTCTAACATACCCTGTAATTTGCTGGTTTATTGTGTTCTTTTTACTTCTCTGCCTCCTGGACAGAACGAAGGCCCCCAAGGGCAGGACGGTTGTCTTGCTCACTGCTGCACCCTGCCCTCCAGCACATAGCAGCTTTTCAGTCTGTGCAGTGACTGGGTGGGTACAGATATTACTAATTTTTATGTAGCTGTATTTATCCATTTTTTTCTATTACGTCTTCAGGCTTTTGTGTTAACACCTAAAAAGTTTATCACTGTGAAATGATGATAAGAGAATTCTCAGGTTTCTTGTACTAGTCTTGTGCTTTCATTTTTCATGACAATCTTTCGTTCATCTGGAACTGGTTTTGGAGAAGGTGCTGTTCCTGTGGCTTATGGTCATAGTGTGCACAGTTTTGCTTTGAAACGTGTCAGGCCTGGAGAAAAGCTGTAAGAATCGTACAGTGAGCACCTGCATGCCTCACCGGCCTCCCGAGGGTGAGCTCTGCCACATGTGCTTGGTCCTGTTTCTTTTATGTGTTATGTGAAGCACGTTGAGACGTGGTTGGAAATCTCATGAGACTTTATCAATAAGTACGTCAGCATGTGTCCCCTAAGGGCAAGGGTATCTTCCTGTTTGCATCAACATATCACCCTAAAAAAACCATGATTCTGACTCATAGTGACTCTATAGGATAGGGTTTCTAAGGAGGATTCAAACTGCCGACCTATTGGTTTGCAGCCGAGCTCTTAACCCCTGCGCCACCAGGGCTCCTGATATCACCCTGGGGCCTTTAACATGCTGTTCGCTAAGTGGTGTTCATGTTTAGGTGTCGTCTGTTGTCCCGCTCACCTTCTTTTGTTGTTTTAAGTTCAGGATCCAGCCTAGGACCACCACTTCTCTAGGTGCCACGTGTCCTTCGGCCCCTTCACAAACTATCGTCCCAGGCTCTTTTTTTCTCCAGATCTCCCATGACATTGACACTTGCGAAGAGTCCAGGACAGTGACAGCAGAACCTATGAGAGCCGGAACTCAACGGGACTGCCTTGTTTTTCCAGATCTTGCAAGTTTTCCACCTTTGACAGGGTGCAGTCTTACCACTTTTCTGTCACTCGTTTTAGTGACAAATCTGAGTTTTCCTTCTCTGACAGGTTCTGCCTCACACAGGTTCTGGCTTTCGCCGGTTTTACTCTGTCTTGTAGACTGTCCTAGTGTGGGTTGGTCTGGTGTCTCCATTTGGCAGAAGTCTACACAGGGGATGTCTCACCTTTCTCAGGCTGTCCTGCTGACGTCCCAGTGTATGTCCATCTGTCCCTTGTTGGTGGTGTTTGATCAGTCAGTTAAGGTCCTGGCTGCCATATAAAGTGTGTTTTTCCCGTTGTAATCTGTGGGGCGGTAGTCTGAGACTGTGTGAGTGACGTCTTCTGAGGTCTTCCCTCCAGTGGTCTTTCATCCCATCATTCCATGACATCCTTGCCTGAGTCACTATGGTGGTGGTGACAGTGATTTTCTGTTCCTGCCGTTCCAGCTACACTTGTAGGTTGGCGTCCTCTAAAGAGAGCCCTCCCTTCCCTCCGCTGTCATTTGTTTTGTTTGTCTGGCTTGGGATTTTGTGGGCTGCTTTTTTTTTCTTTCTTTTTAACCAGCTGTATTAATATGGTATATACATCCCGTAAAATTCACTCATTGTAAGTGTATGGTTGATGATGTTTAGTAAATTTGTACAATTGTGCAACCATCATCACAATCTGGTTTTAGAACATTTATATCACCCCCAAAGGCTCCTCATTCCGACAGCTACTGAGCTACTGAGCTACAGGTAAGTGGGATCATACAGTGTATGGTCTCTCGTGTCTGGTTTCTTTCACTTAGCGTAATGTTTTTGAGATTTTTCCCTGTTGTATCACATGCCAATGTTTTACTCTTTTTTATTGCTGAATAATATTTCACCGAATAGATGTTGCTTACCACATTTTGTGTATCCGCTGACAGGTTGATGGACACTTGGGTTGTTCCTACTTTTTAGCCATCATGAATAACTGGTATGAATATTCACGTACAAGTCTAACAACAACGACAACACGGGAGATACCTGGGAGTGGGATTGCTCTATTTAATGTTTTAAAAAACTGCCAAACTATTTTCCGGCGTATTCCAAAGCAGCATATAAGAATTCCAGTTTCTTCAAATCCCCACTAATACTTGTTACTGTCTTTTTGATAGTCATTCTAGTGGGCGTGCACTGGTAACTCATTGTGGTTGTGATTTGTATTTATCTGATGACCAATGATGTTGAGCATAATTTCATGTGCTTCTTGGCCATTTATATTATCTTCTTTGGAGAAATACCTATTCAAATCTTTTGCCCATTATAAAAAAATCGAGTTGTCTAATTTTTTAATCATAAGAGTTCTTTATATATTCTGGTTTCAATACTTTATCAGGTATGTTGTTTGCAAATATTAACACTTTCTGCCAATCTGTGTCTTGTCTTTTTATTTTCTTAATAGTGTCTTTTGAAGAACAAAAGTTTTAAATTTTGATGTAGTCCAATTTATCAATTTTTTCTTTTACGCCTGTGCTTTTGATAGGATATCTAAGAAATCTTTCCCTAACCCAGGGTCACAAAGATTTTCTCTCTGTTTTCTTCTAGAAGTCTTGTAGTTTAAGCTCTTACACTTAGGTCTGTCAAGCATTCTGAGTTAGTTTTTGTTATGGTGTGAGGTAGGGGTTCTGGTTCATTTGTTTGCCTGTGGACATCCAGTTGTCCCGGCACCACTGTCCCTTCTCCACTGAACTGCCTTAGCACCTCTGTTGGGAATACATAGACTGTACATGGTAACGGTTTACTTATGGACTCCATTGTGTGCCGTTGACCTGCGTGTCTATCCTTAAGCTAATACCACACTATCTTGGTTACTGTAGCTTTGTCATAAGACTTGAAATTGGCAAGTGTAAGTTTTCCAACTTTGTTCTTTTTCTAAGTTCTTCTGGCTAGTCCAGATCTTTGCATTTCCATATGAATTTTAAGATCAGCTCGTTAATTTCAACAGAACAGCCAGCTGTGCTTTGATAAGGGACGGTGTTGAATCTGTATGTCATTTGGGGGGAATCGGTCACTTGCTTTCTGTACTGAGCATTAGGTGGCTTGCTTACCATTTTCTGGAACCAGTTTCTGGTTTGTCACCTTTTCTAAAAAGTATGAGAAAGCTGTGAGCCCATCCCTAGGAAAGTGCACACACTTATGTACATGTCAGCGTCCCTCCGGTGGATCTTGCCGTGTCTCACCTGGCCTCCTCTACCCGGCCACACTGCTGCCAGGCTGGCCTTCCCTGCGAGCACTTGCTGTTTGACTGTTTCGGGAGACTGTTCAGTGATCTAGGGAGAGGGTGGTGATGGATTGCTGGGTGTCTTTGTGTGACTCTGCACATCCATCCGTGTGGACAGAAACGGAAAAGGCAGAAAACGCTGTCAGCAGTGATTATCTTTGGAGTTATGGGTGGGTTTGACTTTATTTATGTCTTTTTGTGCTTCCCAAGTTTTCAGAAAATTTCCATAAATCAGAAAACAATCAGATGTTAAAAAAATTAAAAAAACCAAACCAAACCCATTGCCGTCAAGTCGATTCCAACTCATAGTCACCCTGTAGGACAGAGTAGAACTGCCCCTTAGGGTTTCCGAGGGGCGGCTGATGAATTTGAGCTGCCGACCTTTTTGGTTAGCAGCCGTAGCTCCCTGTAGCTCTTAACCACTGTGCCACCAGGCCTCCAAGAAAATTAAAGGTGTAGTTAAAAATAATGGCTAGATAGTTTTATGTGGGGAAATTTGAATACCATCAGTGAAACCAGGGTAAAGAAAAGAGGTTCAGGAGGCGTCGAGTTGGCCAAGACATCTGCTTCTCTGGTTTTGTTTTTCGTTTTGTTTTGGTTGGGCTGTTTGTTTTCACTCAAGGGTCCGTGACCCTGGAGGACCCTTCTTCCCAGGCCCACCGCCTTCCTCCTGACCTGCTTCTCCCGGGCCTGGCCTGGGCAACGGAGAGGGTCGAACGCCTTTGCCACTTCACTGGTTATGTCCCCCTTTCTGCAGGAGGCCACAGGGCCCGGGGGCTCCCGCGCCATCAACAACCTTCGAAGATGTAATAGCAGCACACAAGTCAACCAGCCGTGGGCCGGCACCCTCAGGTAACCCTGCGCACCCTTAGTAGCCCCCAGCCTTCTCAGGTAACCCCAGACCCCCTCAGCTAGCCTTGCCCCCCTCAGGTGAGACAGACACTTTCGCCCTCAGCTTCAGAGATTGGGGCGAGGCATGTCCTCGGTCTGTGGGCAGTGGTTGGTGGGTCTGGACCCAGGCCATCCAGCTGGCCTTCTCCTGCACTCTGAGGAGTGGTGGCAGCAGGACACCCCCATTTGGAGCACATGGCCACCAGGTTATCTGTGGTCAGTGAGCCTCGGGGGGGCCCTTACCCAGACCTCCAGCCCTTGCTCCGCTGGGGGGCCTCTGCGGGGCATGGCCGTCAGAGCAGAGCTGGGAACCGGCTGTGCTGGGCTGAGCACTGTCTCTGCTTGCTGTCCTCTTTGGGCGCAGGGCGGCGGAGCCCCCTGACTTCTTGGCACTCTTTGAGAGCAGCACCGTGGGGAGAAAGAGGCTGGCCAGCCTGGGACGCACCCCGAGCGAGAAGGGGGCCACGTGGAACGTCCTGGTAAGCTCCAGAGGCCGAGCCGAGACGGCAGGTGAAGGGGGTGAGCCCTCCTCTGTTCTGCCTGCTTCCGCAACAGGCCCCCGGGGCCGGGGCGGGGGATGTCGGCAAGTTCTGTCGACACGTGTTCATGTGATGTCACCGTAACATGCAATGTCAGGAGGATTAAAGAACTTTCCAGCCCCTGGGGCCATCCCACCCACCTTGGATCTGGGTGGGCGAGGCGGGAGCAGGTGGGAAGGAGCGACCTGCCCCATCCGGCGAAATGTGGGGCCTGGTGTGTGCACAGGATGACCAGCCCCAGGAGCTTGCCCAGCCGCCTGGCACCTGGAGCTCCGGCACCCCTGACCCGCCAGCCAGTCTGCGGAGGAGGGAGTACGCTGTGACCCTGGCTCCCAGCTTCACTGCCAACAACAGGTAAGACTGCTGTCCGGGGCAGGGACTGTGTTTGCCTGGTCCGTGGCCAGCCGGGGTGTTTGGAGTGAATGAATGAATGAATGAATGAGTGGCTTTCTTTACCCAAGGAAAAGGGAGGGGGGCCCAGGTGGTGAGTCTTAGTCATCTAGTGCTGCTCTCACAGAAATACAACGAGCTGAGGGCTCTAACAAACCGAAATTTATTCTCTCACAGTTTAGGAGGCTTGAAATCCAAATTCAGAGTGCCAGCTCCAGGGGAAGGCTTTCTCTTTCTGTCTGTTCTGGGGGAAGCTCCTTGTCATCAGTCTTCCCCTGGACTAGGAGCTTCTGACTGCAGGGACCCTGGGTCCAAAGGACACATGCTGCTCTCGGTGCTTCTTTCTTGATGGCATGAGGTTCCTCTCCTCTGCTCACTTCTCTCTTTTATATCGCGAAAGAGATTGACTGAAGATATAGCCTAATTCTGTAGATGGTCTCCTGCTTCGTTAACATCATAAAGTTAAGATTTACAATACACAGAATAATTACATTAGATCACAAAATGGTGAACGACCACACAATCCTGGGAGTCATGACCTAGCCAAATTGACACACATTGTTGGGGGGACACAACTCAATCTGTGACATGGCATCTTGCACAGAGACTCAGCTGCCGTTTGAGGGTGGGTGGGCTCTGCCTGCAACTGGCCTCTGGCTTGGGGGGCTCAGATGGCAACCCCCCCAGGCCTCCCCTCACCGCTGCCAGCCTATCCCTCCAGAGGCCTGTGTCTCGCACCTCTTGTTGAAGTTTCAGGCACAGGGGAGGCTTGTGTGGGGACGTGGGTGGCTTTGGAGGCTCACGGGACGTTCTGGAACTTCCAGATCTAGCCTCTCACATCTCTGGAGGGGAGGTGGCACTTGGGGTCCTGAGCTGCTTCTGAGGCTCTGCCAGGAGGCATGCCATGGGTGGGCTTCTGTGTCAGGGCTGCATGGGGCAGAGCCTCAAGCCCGTTCACCCAGGACACCAGGGCCAAAGCGTGTCTGGCAGGGAGGGCCTGGCCCGTGGCCCGGCTGATGGGGCTGACGGCCGAGGTGGGGTCAGTGGGATCAGAGGAGCCTGCAGCGGCCAAGGAGAGGCAGAGGCAGCATAGCCACCTTGAGCCGCGAGTGCAGCTTGTCCTCCTGCTCCGGGTCTCTGGGGGCCGGGACAGGAAGGCGCGAAGTTACACTTTGCCTCTTCAAGAAAGAACACTGGGAGCTGCCTCTGAAAGGCCTGGTCTCTGAGAGGGAGTCCACACCCGTGTGCGTCAGGCCGGGCCCAGGAAGGAATCCTGCTTTTGGTCTGAGAATTTAAATTAAAATTTAATCAGAGTGACACCTGCACACAGCTGACAAGTTGACAGCACCACAAACTTGTAACAGGAAAGAGCATACCTGCCGGCCTTTCCCTCCCCGCCCCGGTCCTGCTCCATGAACAGCCATGTCAAGCTGTTTCTCCTTCGTCCACACCCGCCCAGCACCCGCCCCCGGGTGGCTCGGGGTCCGGTGCCTGCCCCTCAAAGCTGAGCTGCTGCTTGTCTCTCGTCAGGAGCAACAAGGGAGCCGTGGGCAACTGTGTCCCCACCATGGTGTACAACCACTGCCCGTCCGCGGGGAAGGCCCCCCCGCCCAAGAGCTCCAACCAGACGGCGCCCTCCCTCAAGTAAGGCCCGCCGCCACCATCCGGGGGCCTGCCCATGGCCTGGCTTCGGCCTGGGCCCAGCACGTGTGTGCGCATGGCTGTAGACGCCTGGACTGGGGCCCAGTGCACAGGACTCCTGCCCACGGTGCTGTCCCTCCCGACCAGGCTTGGGGGGGTGGTCAGTGAACTCACTGCTCGCCCCCATGCCGCACCCGTCCCCTCTGTCCTGTGCCCCGGGGCTGGCCCGACTCCAGTGCGGAGCTGAGACTGGGGTCACGGCCCAAGCGCCGGGGCTGCTGGCTAAGTCCCAGGCTGGGAGGGGACCCTCGAGTATGTCCCGTCTAGAGCCAGGGCTGCCCATGGGGCCTCCTGAGTCACAGTCCTGCTCTGGAATCCTGTAACTTTGGGGAATTCCCTGTTTTTTCAAATTTGAAGTGCTCCCTCACCCTGGGTGCCCCCAGATGGAACCTGTTGGAGCGTCAGTGGCTCTGGGCCCCCAGATCACAGCAGGAGAGCTGGCCCCGGCAGCACATGCCAAGTGCCCTCCAGCTGCTGTCCCCCTGCATGCTTCCTCTGGCTGAGAGCAGCTTGGACGCGCCCGGTGGTCCCGTGGGGGTGGTAAGATGGGGGTCAGCAAGTGTGGCCCTGTGTCCTTGTCTGTCAGCAACATCATCAAGGCAGCCACCACCGAGGGCGCCGAGGGCAACGGCTTCGGGAAGCTCGGGAAGAACGTCCCCAGCAGCAACCACGAGGCCCGGAACAACGGCGGGGGCCCTGGGAGCCTGCTTAGGAGGACGGAGGTGACGGAGGAGGAGGCTGAGAGGTGACTGTGGGCTCTGGGCAGGGAGCACGTTGGGGCTCAGAGGGCTGGAGTGCAGAGCGTGGGGGCAGGGGCGGGGCAGGGACAGGAGGAGAGGCCTCAGACCCCAAGGATAAAAGCTGAAAACCTGCTGCTGGTGAGTTGGTCTGGACTCACGGAGACCCCGCGCGTGTCAGGGCAGAGCTGTGCTCCGCAGGGTTGTCAGTGGCTGAGTTTTTGGAAGTAGTTTGCCAGCCCTTTCTTCCAAGGCACCTCTTGGTGGACTCGAGTCTCCAGTCTTTCGGTTAGCAGTTGAGTGCATTCACCATGTGCACCACCAGGGACTTCTGACTAGAAAAGCACAGAGCTGGCCCCCCCCGTCCCCAAGTGGCACCCACCGGGGGGGTTACCCACTTGTTCCCCAGCTGGTGGACATCTGGGCACGTCCAGCCTGGGCAATTCCGAGTAAAGCTGCGTGAGCACCGCGTGAGGATGGCGCTTTCCTTCCTCCTGGGGACTCCTGGGAGTGCAGGTCTCGCTCCTGGTGGCACTGGTCCTGCTGGGCTGGTGCCGTCCATGCCACGGCGTGGGCAGCGGCAGCTCCCCTCCGCGGGGCTGGGCCGTGGGGCCGCGGGAGGCACCGCGCCCGCCCGCCGCTGAGCCTGTGCTCCGGCAGGTTCATTCACCAGGTGAGCCAGGCCGCCGTCACCATCCAGCGCTGGTACCGCCACCAGGTGCAGCGGCGCCGAGCCGGAGCGGCCAGCCTGGAGCGCCTGCTGGCGTGCAAGCGAGAGGTCAGTGTGGGGGCCCAGCCCGGGCTCAGACCGGGGCCCAGGGGCACAGAAACCCAGGCTGAGCCGTACGCGGGCAGAGATGGGACAGCTGCATAGAAGCCTCATTCCCCAGAACACGGACACCCACCTGCGGGCCCAGAGTCTGCTCAGCCAGGCGGTGGTCCTTCATGGATCCCAGGAAGAGGCTCTGTGAGGTTGTTCTGGCCATGGGTCCCGCCGGGGCACTCTTGGGATCCCAGTGAGGGTCAGCCCCCTAGTGGACTCCGTAGACTGCAGGGGCCCCAGGCGTTGTCTGGAGACCCAGGTCTGGGCCCAGGGGCTCCGTCTTCGACATGTGAACCTGCTATGGCTCGCTCTTGCAGGAGCGGCAGCAGCGGCGGGCGGAAGGGGGCATCCTGGAGCTGCACCCGCAGAAGGTGGCGGCGAGGAGGAGAGCCCGAGAGGAGAAGGCGCGCCAGGCCAGGCAGGCGGCCATCCAGGTGCTGGGGGCCTACGGGTCCCCGGGGGCACCCCTGCCCGCTCCTCCCCCAGCAGTCCCCCTTCTACGCCGGGCAGCTGCTCAGAGATGCCCTCCCCCAGGAGCTACAGCAGAACCGAGCCCAGAAGTCCACTGAGGCTGAGGCCAGGCCGCTGCAGGAGCTCCGAGGGGTGGGGAGGCCCAGGCCTGCCCGGGAGCCCCCCCTGACACCCAAGACCACAGCCCCTCGCAAGCCCAAGGCCAACAACACAGGTGAGCACGGCCCACCACCTCATGCCCTGCAGGCTTCCTGCCACCCTCTGCTGCCTGGCTTGCTGCGCTTGTCACGGGCACGCTGCTGCCCAGCCTGCGCCCTGCCCTTCCCCGTCCCCACCGCCTCCGGGAGGGTTGAGGCCTCTGTGACCTGCCCCACATTCTGCACCACATCCCCCCACAGAAGAGGGGCCCCCACTCCTCAGCAGACCCCCCAGCCCCCTCCTCCTTTTCCTCATCTGCCCACTTACCCTGGAGCTGGGCGTGACCCTCAGCCACTAGTCAGCGGGGACCCTCGGAGCCAGCACCCCGACCTCATACCTGGGAGAGACCTCCTGCCGTGCCTTGCTCCTCCCCAGGGCCCATGTGTCGCCCCCTAGTAGGGGACGCTGTGTCCTCCAGGTGGCCCCCCGGGTGGGGGACGCTGTGTCCTCCATGTGGCCCCCCAGGTGTGACACTGTGTCCTCCAGGTGGCCCCCCGGGTGGGGGATGCTGTGTCCTCCAGGTGGCCCCCCAGGTATGATACTGTGTCCTCTATGTGGCCCCCCAGGTGTGACGCTGTGTCCTCCAGGTGGCCCCCCGGGTGTGACGCTGTGTCTTCCACGTGGCCCCCCGGGTGGGGGACGCTGTGTCCTCCACATGGCCCCCCAGGTGTGACGCTGTATTCTGTTGTGCAGGTCCCAGCTCCCATGCCGCAGACTCCGAGCAGCCTGGCCAGCCGACCTCCGACCCATCCCCAGAGCCCTGCTCCTTTCCAGAGGATGCCCCGCAGGTCTCGCACCCCTCCTCCCCACCTGACTTCAGTGGCAGGGTGCCCTAGAGTCCACCCCCACCCAGCCCCCCAGAGGCGGGTCACTCAGGCCAAGCAGCCACCCAGCTGGTCTGCTCTGTGCAGCGTGGCTGACCAGGCTCCCTGAGGTCACACTGAGATCCCAACAGGCCTCCCGATGCTGAGCCGGGGGCACCAGCGACCTCATCTGCAGAGGGGGAGCTGGGAGCTTGGGGTCAGGTGGTGGCCCAGGCCCACGTCCTTCCTGGAGGGGCCTCGTACGCCCTACCAGGGGGGGAAGGTCTTGTCCCTCGAGGCACAATTTGTGCAGCTGCAGAGCACGGATGTGTGGCTCCAGAGTGAGGCCCTAGGCCCTCCCAGCTCTGCTCGGCCTCATGCGCAGGGCTGCTCGGCCACTGACGGCCCGCTGGCCTCTCCCCACCTTCTCCTCCTGCAGGATGCCCACGCCCAGGACGTGGCCAGCGAGCGCCTGGAGACAGGGGGCCCCACCAAGCCTCAGGTGACTCTCAGCGAGCTGTTGGACACGCTGCGGCTGCTGGAGGCAGATCCCGAGCCACTGCCCCGGCCCCAGGCCTATGACAAGGAGAAGTACGCCTGGATCGATGAGGTGATGTCCACGGGGTGCTTGGGGAGCAGGGGCGCCCTCCCCTGTTGGTGGGGCCTTCGCAGGGCCAGGGGCCTGATGACCTGGGTGTCTCCATGCTTTCTCTGCTTGTCCCTTTTCTACCCAGCTCTCCTCCCATCCAAGGTCCCCTCCAGTTAGGACATTCAGAATGACCTCGAGGAGGGACTGGCCACCGGGATGGGGTGCTTCCTCTTGGCTAGGGACATCTGCAGGCGATGCAGGGAGGGTCTGGGCACCAGGGAGGCCCCTCCAGAGCCAGGCTGCCCCCCAACCCCGGCCCCTGGGACCCCTGAGGAGCGCCTGGAGGGACAGCCTGGGTGCAAGCTGCCCTCCCTGCCTGCGAGGCACCCTGAAGACTGGTCCCCTGCAGGCAGATGTCACCAGCTCCCTGACCGCAGACAACCTGGAGAAGCTGGGGCAGCTCAGCACACCCACTGGCCCCCACGACGACGGGACGTTGCTGTCAGAGGCCAAGCTGCACAGCATCCTGAGCTTCCTGGACGAGATGGAGCCGTCAGCGCGGGAGCGGCCGGCAGTGCGTCTCCTCATGCGTCCTGGGAGACCCCGTGCTGGGTGGGGTCGGGGAACCGAGAAGCCCACCATGTGGGCAGCGAGTCCAGCATGACCTGGCTCATCACTGTGACCACTCCCCTCACTGAACAAGAATGACCCCCGCTGGGTGGCCTTGTCACCCACTACCTCACCGCAGCCTTCCCCAGGGGATCCCCCTGGACTGGAGTCACCCCTTGCCTGTGAGGGGCAGTGGGAAGGGAGCATCAGGGGCACCTGTGAGGGGCGGGCAGGGGGGCCTCAAGCCCCAGGTGCTCCTGGCCGTCACAGGGGGGCCTAGTGGGGTGAGCCTGCCTGACATGTGGCCCCTGTAGGGGCTGATGCGGGGGGCGGAGCTGGCCAGCCTGGAGCGCGAGTCTGCGGGGACCACAGCGGTGATGCGGCTGCGGCTGGAGGTGGAGGAGAAGCGGCAGGCCGTGGCGCTGCTGCAGCGGGCGCTGGTAATGTGGGTGCTGATGGCGCGGGGGCTGATGGTGCGGGGCTGGTGGTGCGGGGGCTGCTGCAGCGGGGGCTGGCGGCGCCGGGGCTGCTACAGTGGGTGCTGGTAATGTGGGTGCTGATGGCGTGGGGCTGGTGGTGCGGGTGCTGCTGTGGCGGGGGCTG